TCAGAAAGGTGGTATGTGACTCACATTTGGCTAACACTGTTTCGTTTTGTTATTAATGAGTTTTTTATTGATTTGAGAAAGGGAGAGAAAGAGAAATAAACATTGATCAGCTGCCTCTGGTACGCACCCCAAACAGGGATCGAACCCACAATCTAGGTATGTGCTTGACCAGGAATCGAACTCTCAGTCTTGTGGTGTATGGGATGATGCTCCAGCGCACTGAGCACCCGGCCAGGGCTGGATGAGTTTTAGGGAAGGATCTGATTTAGCCAGCATCATTTCTGAATGCTTGTAATAATAAGCCACATCATAAAGGAGTTTCCTCTACTACTGTAAATTCTAGTTTTGTTCCAGGACAAACATTTTAAAACATGTGTTTACGTTTATTTAAAAAATATAAATTTGAAAGCACTGACTAAATTTAAGTTACTTTAAAAGGATTCACCCAAATGGTAAAAATGTTCAGGAGCATTTGAGGGACATGCTATTCCTACAGAAGAGAATAGACTACAAAGGCACATTGCATATTATAGCTATCATTGCAGCATTTAAATAAAAGTGATCTAAATAATCATTAACCTTAATAATTAACAACTAATTAAAATATTCTTTCATAAAAAAGAAGGTATGCTTGTGCACTAAGTGCTCTTGATTCTGGAACCTCCTGCACATAAGTGTCACTGACATGGACCCACTGGCCTGGCGATTCACTATCCGGGTCTTTCAAACCTAACAAAACAAAAAGAAGTATAATTTTTACAATAAGTGTGTGTTTTTTCTTTACATTATAAGCAACATCACAAACTAGATTTATTTAGTGCTAGATGTTATTGCATAAGTCTGTTTCTCCTAAATGAACTAACTCTTTAAAGCATTACTAATAGTGTCATTTTACTTGAAAAATGTAGTGAAATATTAGATAGCCTTGTAAATATTTATTGTTTCAGGAAAATCATTTTTCACTAAAAGAGAAAAAACAAAAAACAAAGTTAGTTTGCGGATCCATAAGCAAAGTTAGCAAAATATCAAGTCCAACTATATTCTGAGACCTGGTGTCTTCAGAAATTTTGTTATTATTAAATAAAATGCCACCGCACTGCAGTACATGACTTGACACCTTGAAAAACTGTGCCACTTTACAGCACCTAGAAGGGCACAGTCTTAGGATATTTAAGATTCTTTAAGATTACCTAGTACTCTTAAATGTATTTCTCACGCAACATTAATAAAGTGAATCCACATAAGTCATCCATGAAATAACTTGCCTCTTCTAGAAAAGGAAGAATAAAGTCATTTGTTTTTAAGAATAAAATAAACTTAGGATCACATACCAGGTACACTTTTCTTTCCAGTGATCTGTTCCAATAACTTCCTGGAGGGGGTTCTCACTTTCACATACGCAGTGTAGTGGCCTCCTCGCATTGAGCCGCTATGTTCCACTATGCCGTACAGGCCATAGAGAACTTTCTCTCCCGCACTTACATTCTTCAGACAAAAATAAGTTAGTAATGTTTAGTGAAATGCTATTGTAAGGAAAATTAAGTCAAATGTACATCCTGCTTAACATAAGAGAATAACATATTAAAAATACACTGAGATGCTTTTCTGCACATATTAGACTGACAAAATGCAAATGCTTCACAAGATCCTCTGCTGGATGGGCTGTGGGGAAGAGTACTCACACACACTGTAGGTGGGAATGCAAAGGGGTCCAGCCCCTATGCTGGAATACTTAATGTTATCAAGCTAAATTACATATGAGATACTCTTGGATTTATCAATCCTTTTTCTAGGATTCTCTCTCACAGGTACATAAGCAAAATGTAAAAAGATATGCACCACATGACTAACTGCATAATTATTTGTATTATCAAAAAATTGGAATAGGCCCAAGTGTCCATTAACTGGGGACTGGTTGAATAAACTATGATGCAGCCATACAAGAGTGTTATGCTGCTTAAAAAGTGGAATACCAGACTATCTCTAAATACTGCTCTGATATAATCTCCAGAATATAATGGTAAGAATAGGTAGAAAAAAGGTTACATAAGTTATGATTACTTAAGAGGAGAAATCCATATATACATACCTATCTACTTACATTTTTTAAAAAAACTAGTAGAAGAATAAACTATAATTTTTAACAATGGTTATCTAGAAAGGGAGGGAAGAAACAGATGGGACAGATGGAGAAAAGCTATACTTGTTTAAATTTACTTTGCTTTGTACATTTGATACATTTGACTTCGGAACTGTGTAAATATTTTATGTAATTATTAAACAAAATTTGAGAATTTTGAATTTAAAAACAGTCCCTAAAAATCAAAATAAAAAAATTAAGCAGTGAAGAATATATCCAGTTGGTGGCATAGTCATTCAGAGAGGAACCACTAGGGTCGGTAAAAAAAACCCCAGAAGCCAATTTGAAGTGGCTTTCAGTAGCCAACAATTAGCCACATTAGACAAATATATTAGAGCATGAATAAAAGAAAAGTGTAGTAAATTAAAACTTATCTGATATGTTTAAAACCATGAACTCATTATGATAAATTAATTGATCACAGTTTGAGAATGCTAGTGAATTCATTATTCTGAGAACTAGTTTAAAAGGGAGACAGGAAAAGAATTGAACATTTACCCTGTCTTTTCTATAAGAACTATACCATAAGATGACTAAATAGATGAAAGGAATACCTCTTTATATGGAGGTTATCTAGTTAACAAATGAAGAAGGAATGAGAAAATTAGAATATCACCATGCTGTAATTCTTAATGAACTCATGAATCTAACATTGAGCATCATTGGCCATTATCACAAAAAGACAACTGTCATTCTGTGCCACCTGACTAAACACTCCCCATGAAATACACTTGCCAGAAAAAATTAAAAAATAAATAAGGAATATCAAACCTGAATCTGTTCAAGCTTCTCCAGATCCAACTATCCAACTGCCTACTTGTAGTAAATAAAGAGGATAGCCCTAGCCAGTCTGGCTCAGTGGATAGAGCATCAGCCTGTGGATTAGAGGGTCCCTGGTTCGATCCCAGTCAAGGGCACATGCCTGGGTTGCAGGCTTGATCCCCAGTAGGGGGGCATGCAAGAGGCAGCCAATCAATGATTCTTTCTCATCATTGATGTTCCTATCTCTCTCACCCTCTCCCTTCCTCTCTGAAATCAGAGGAATAATCATTAAATCTGAATTATGGGAATCTACATGAAAGATGGTCTACTTTCTTCAACAAATAAATTATGAAGAGGGAAGAGAAGGGGAGAGAGATGGGAGAAAGGAACTGTATATTAAAAGAGACTAAAAGACATTATCCAATTATAATGTGTAGTCCTTAGTTGGATATGAATTCATTTAAGATTTTTCATTTATGATATAATTAGAAATATAGACTCTAGATCAGGGGTGGGCAAACTTTTTGACTCGAGGGCCACAATGGGTTCTTAAACTGGACCGGAGGGCCGGAACAAAAGCATGGATGGAGTGTTTGTGTGAACGAATATAAATTCAAAGTAAACATCATTACATAAAAGGGTACGGACTTTTTTTTTTTAGTTTTATTCATTTAAAACGGGCCGGATCCGGCCCACGGGCCGTAGTTTGCCCATGGCTGCTCTAGATGATATGAAGAAATTATTTATTTGGTTTAGTGTGAAAGTGGTATTGTGGTTATGTTAAAAAGGAGGAGTGATTCTTATCTTTTAGAAATACATAGTGAAATATTTATGAATGAAATGATGCTTCAAAATAATATAGGGGTGTTAGATGAGTTTGTGGATGGGGCAGGACTGGCCATATATCTGAGGTTTTAAGGCGAAGTGATGGGTGCGAGAGGTTCATTGTACTGTCTTGTCTATTTCTGTCTATGTTGGAAATTCTCCATAATAGGTACTTTCAAAAATATGTTCTTATAAATTCGATACAGAGGTTGTTAAGTCTCATTTTTTTACGGCATTATCAAATTCTGAGTGTTAATAACTGACAGATAGTGCTAACATTCCACAGATGAACTGGATTCACTGAAAAATTGCATTTAAGTATTTTGTGTGTTTGTTGATTTACCTAATCATAAAATCCTGTTGTCAAAAATATATATTTTTTGTTTTGATTGATCAATATATGAAAAATATTAAGTTCAATAAGTGTTCTCTTATATACCACAAAGCCTATACTACTAACCAGTAATCATGAACAGGAGCTTAGTTTTTTTTGTTTTTTTTTTAATATATATTTTATTGATTTTTTACAGAGAGGAAGAGAGAGAGAGAGAGTCAGAAACATCAATGAGAGAGAGACATCGATCAGCTGCCTCCTGCACATCTCCCACTGGGGATGTGCCCGCAACCCAGGTACATGCCCCTGACCAGTATCGAACCTGGGACCCTTCAGTCCGCAGGCCGACGCTCTATCCACTGAGCCAAACCGGTTTCGGCAGGAGCTTAGTTTTTTAAAAAAAGAAAGAAAAGTATGGCACAACAAACAATCACAGAATACTTTAAGCATATTATTTGCAAGTCAATTAAATATTTTAATAATATACTATACCTTACAAGTAGCAGAACAGAATGGTGCTAAATCAAGTATAAGTGGAAAATCTACATGTCTGTTTACTTTGCGAAGACTTGATCCAGCCTAAAAAGACAAAAAAAAAAATTTAATGTGACAAACTCAATCTAAATTACTGTTTGTTAATTAAAACTAAAAGAGGAATCCTAGAAGTTTTTTCATAGCTATAAAAACATAATTAATGAATAGTCCAAAATTGATATATGACTACATTTTTATTTTTTAATTAGGTTTCATGAACTGTTATTGCAAATATATATTTTTATGCGCATTTTTACTATAAACAATATGGGAATAATTACTTTCATTGTGGCTTTTCAACACTTAGCGAAAAATAAATTGTGGCTTTTCAACACTAGGAAAAAATAAATTCAATGTGATAAAGCTAAGCTATTTCATAAGCTATCATGAAAAGATATTCAACTGAAGAGTCAGGGGCCTGGTGTCCTAGCCCTGACTGAACACCGAATTTGACTCTAGGTTACCTCATCTACATCAAGGCAGAAAATGGGTATAAATGGTTTAGAATAGATCCTTTTCCGTTTTAAAATTCAGTGATATCCATTCATTAAAACAAAAAGCCTGAATTTGAATACTTAAATCATTTTATCAATAAAAGAAAATGTTATATATTATCTAAATCAAAATGAACCTTCCTGTTGTCAAATAAGCTCTACTCCTTTCTCTATTTTTAATTGCTAAAGGCAGTACTTGAAAAAATGTACACTTTGCATTATTTAATGATAATTAAAAACTAGCTGATAGACTGTGAAAGGTATTGGATAGGAAACCCATAAATAGAAACTATTGGAATCAGAAAATGCATAAATCTGAATTATATGAGTAGACAAAAACTAACCGATGCAACCTTTCATGCAAGGCTTTCATGACTTACTCCAAGGACATCATTTTAAAGGGAAAAAAGCTTATTTTTTGACCAAAATATACCCACTTACTGATTTGTATCTTCAAGTGATGTTTAGAAGACTTAACCTGGTATCTGATGTGAAATCATGAGGTCATGCCCCTGGAGTAATTATTTAATCTGTTTTCAATTTTTTTGCCTTGTTTTTTCTCATCAGATGACCTCCATAAGCATCCAATACCAGCACTGCCTGAGACCCTTTCAGGCTAATGTGTCCTCCCCACATAGCATGTTGCTGTTGAGAAGCTACCCCATAATAGGAAAGACTCTATAAAGAGCTTTAATATAAGATGAATCTCTTTTCCTTCTTTAAACTTTTTTTTAACTTACAGTGGACATACAATATTATATTAGTTTCAGGTATACATAGTTATTGGAATATTTATATAGTATCTACCCCAATAAATCTAGTAACTATCTTGAATCTTTTTTTCTAGGGGATGAATTTTGGAAAATACCTTGCCTTATATTTGGGCATATGCAGCCCCCTGCCTTTTTAAAATTTTTCTTTTAACTGAATATCATAAGTATTTTCCCCATGTCATTAAAATATAAATATGATATCCTGCATACTGGATAATTGTGCCAGGCCTCACAGCTGACATGATCTATAATGACCAAGATACAAATTTTTGTGTATATCTCTATTTCCTTGGAATAGGTTCTTAGAAATGGAATTACTTAGTCAAAAGTAATACTTTTGTTCAAAATGTTTTATTCAAAACATTCCTTAATATCCTTGAACTATATTATTAAATTACTTTCTAGGTGTGTCCAACTTACACCCCTACTGTTGAAACAAGAAAATGCCTATATCTCACTGCATCCTTAACACGACCATATCTGGGCCAATTTGAACAGATTAAAAAAAGAATCCTGCTGTCATTTTATTTTGCATTTGTTTTGCCGGAAAGGATGGACCTTTTTCTTCATATTTTCTTGGAATCTTTACTTTTTCTATGAATTGTCAATTCGTGTTCTTTACCATTTTTCTATTAGGGTCTTGATATTTTTACGATTGATTTTTCAGAGTTATTTATATATTTACAATGCTAATCATTTGCCATATTTATGACAAAGATCTCTGTCCTGTTTGAGACTGGCCTTTCAGTGTTGTGGAGGTTTCATATACAGCTCTGAAGTTACTACAGAGAAATAGGCTTTCAGAGACAATAAAATACTAGAAACAGAGACAGAGTCTGCTCCCTAAAATTCCCAGTCCTGGGAACAAGAATGTGGCTTTGCTAACATTACATTTAGCCTGAGAGCAAGAAGGGACTGAGATGTCTGTAAATATTTCCCTTTAAGGGCATGAATGCTTTCTGTAAGTTGTTCCTACATAGGGATAAAATGACCATATATAAAACAACTGGCACATCATGCAATTAGCTTCTCAGATCTGGCATGACCCTCTCTTGCTCACACAGGGTCACTACAGACACACATCTTCATTAGGCATTCTGATGTAGGGAGACATGATACATCTGGTCTCCATGGCCATTTCATTTCTGTTAAGTTTCTAGAATCCTGGCTACAGAAAATCAAGAACTTAACCTAATCTTTCTTTGGATAGGATGAAAGTGTAGAGGAAAATCTCTTCCTGCCTATCTGTGGCCCACCTGAAATGTTGTAGATATACTGGTATATGATCAAAGCTTCCAATCTTTTCCCTCGAGATTTCTTTCCTGGGTTTTATATTTAGAAAATCTTCCCAATCAGAGATCAGGTTTATACTTAAGTTTTCTTTTAGTCTTTTGATAACTTGTTTCATACAATTAAAAAAAATAATCTGAAAATAGTATTGATATATGGTATAGAGGGTAGCTATAAACTTTTATTTCCTTCAACAGCTATTTTCTTTCCTAAGTCCTTTACTGAATAATACAGCTCCCTTCCCAACTGTTACTTTATTATCATAACAAAAGAATTTTAAATTATACTCATGTTTTATTTGACAATTCTGACCATACTGTTTTACTTATAGTTTTATTTTAAAAACCCCTTCTAACTTTTGCAAAAATGTTTTAGTATTTTCATTTATTCATTCTTCCAGAGAAATGTTAAAAACATTTTATCAAATGCAAAAAAAATAAAAATGAGTCAAGGCATTGAATTAAAAATACACACACAGACTGGCCGGTGTGGCTCAGTGGATTGAGCATAATCCCATGCACCAAGAGGTCACTGGTTCCATTCCAGGTCAGGGCACATGCCTGAGTTGTGGGCTTGATTCCCAGTAGGGGGGCGTGTAGGAGGCAGCAGATCGATGTTTCTCTCTCATGGAGGTTTCTCTCTCTCCCTCTCCCTTCCTCTTTGTCTAAAATAAATAAAAACGTATTTTAAAAAAATACACCAAAAAAGGAGAAAAATCTGCTACATTAAAAATATTTAGGTTCCCTCTCACTGTAGAGTCCTATAGTGATGGAGACTGCCTTGGACAAGCCCTTTTGTACTCGGGCCTAGTCAGCCATGGCCAGACCTCACAGCCCTCTCACTGGGATCAAGAGAACTCAGAAAGGTGTGTGCACTTGGCTATTTCTTTACTTCTAAGTGTTCTTCCCCCCCCGCCAAGGGTTCTTAAAAATTCTTATTTTCCATTGACACACACAAACACACACATGCCATTTGGGTTCCTACCACCTAAATCTTCAAACATTGTGAATTAAACAATTTTAATTAGAAAAGTCTGGTAAACTATTATGGCTGAAAAAGCAGTAAATCCCATATGACAAATTTTTAAATTCAGGAAATTAGTGCCTAATCCTTGACAGTATTTTACAAGACTTAGGGCTCTATAAAACACCTGATGGAAATTACTCTAGTGCTACAAAAGGAACTTTTACCTGATGGAATCTTTTAAGGTGGAGTATTAGGATAACTGGAACAGCAGAAATAAGCAACTGCTTCCTGGCATTAGTATAAATTCCTTCTGCTTTCTTTTCTGTATAAAATATAATAAATTTATTTGCAAGATTCCATTTCATACTAATGGAATCTACCACATAACATAGTCAACATTTATATAGAAGCATCATATCACATTTTTTTAAATAGTGAAAAAAAAACAGAATTAACTATTAATATGTGTAGCTATATGGATGAATCTCAAAGCATTAGGCTAAGTGGCAAAGAGGCCAGAGACAGAAGGCTATGTATTAGATGATTCCATTTTTTATGATAGCCTGGAGAAGGCAAAACTATAGGGAGAAGAATCAGATTAGTGAGTGCTGGGATTAGGGAATGGGAGAGGAGATTAACTGCAAAGGAGCACAAAAAAACATTTTGGGGCAACGAAAATGTTTTATAGCTTGAAGGTAGTTACAGGACTGAATACGTTAGCAAAACTCATTAAACTGTACTAGTACACTTAAGAATAAGTTTTATTGTATGCAAATTATATACTATGTGCAAATTCAGTAAACAAGATTTTTTAAAAGGAAATAAAAGAGAAATTAGACTTCTGGTTACAGGGTACCTCTACTCTTTCCAAAAACACTAAAATGAAAGATTTTTTTAAAAAGGCACTCCCTTATATGAACAAAGAACAGGTGAGGTGACACTTGCGACACAATTTTAGAAGCTGGAAAGAAGATGAACTAGTAGTGACTTAGGACAATGCCCTCCAACCAAAGATCACCACAAACACACCTGCAGATGATAAAATTGGCTCAGCATGTATTGCGGTGAAAGGAGAGGTCGTATCATGGCGACCACTGGGGCATTTCAATAAGAGGTTGTTAGAAAGGACTTGTGAAGGATTTGAATATGACGAATTGCATATTTAACTTGGGTTAATATAAACTGGTATTTCTTCCTTCTCCTATTTAGATATTTTCTTAATTACTAGTGTATTACGCACATCTTTGTTCTGATGCTTTGACAGCTGGGGCCTTGCTGACACTGGAAGGAGGGCCTCTCCCAGAGCTAATTGCTAGTTAGTGAATATTAAATGTGCCTTTCATATGCAAACCAACCAACCCAAAATGCACACCCAACTACCTCCTTTATGCCTGCAATCCACTTGCCCTAATCATATCATGACCAAGTTCTAGACAACTAGCAACAGTCCCTATAACCCAGAGCCCACTAAAATATTCAAAACTAGTCAGTCTTAAACCTGTTTATCACACCTTGCCCACTCCTTCCCTTGGAAACCACAATAAAGTCCCTTGCCCTAGTTTACCCGTGGCTGTCCCTGCCTCCTGCTCAACCCTGGTGCTTCCCCATATGCCCTCTCTTCTTAGGAACTGTAAGAAACAAAGTATCCTCAGTGACAACCATATCCTGATTTTTTGGCCTCACAATTCCTGAATAAAAATAAAATCTATATTTTGAATGAAACTAGTCACCAGGAATGAGTATTCTCTCCATTTAGTCAAGGCTAGAGGTACACTGAAAATTTCTTGACAAGTCCCCCTTTTTCCCAGTCAACTAAATATAGATATTATGTTACTAGTTTTATAATACACAATTATTTAAAACCTTCAAATTTATGTCTTACTAGAGGCTCGGTGCACAAAACTCGTGCACAGAAGGGGGGGCTCTCAGCCCAGTTGGCACCCTCTCCAATTCAGGACCCCTCGGGGGATGTCCGACTGCCAGCAGTTGGACATCCCTCTCGGAATCCGGGACCGCTGGCTCCTAACTACTCACCTGCCTGCCTGCCTGATCGCCCCTAACCCCTCTGCCTGCCGGCCTGATCACCCCTAACTGCTCTCCCCTGCTGACCTGATGCCCCTAACTGCTCCCCTGCCGGCCTGATAGCTCCTAACCACCTGTGCCTTGGCCCCCGCCACCATGGCTTTGTCCAGAAGACGTCTGGTCTATCCGCTCTAATTAGCATATCACCCTTTTGTTAGTATAGATGGGTGGTTCTCAACCTTCCTAATGCCGCAACCCTTTAATACAGTTCCTCATGTTGTGGTGACCCCCAATTTCATTGTTACAAATTGAACATAATTAAAGCATAGTGATTAATCAAAAAAATGTAATTATATGTGTTTTCTGATGGTCTTAGGCAACCCCTGTGAAAGGGTCTTTCGACCCCCAAAGGGGTCATGACCCACAAGTTGAGAACCGCTGGTACAGATTATGACTTCACTAGAGGCCAGGTGCATGGATTTGTACACCGGTGGGGTCCCTCAGCCTGGCCTGCACCCTCTCACAATCCAGGACCCCTCAGGGGATGTCAGACTACTGGTTTTGGCCCGATCCCTGCAGGCCAGGCCAAGGGACCCCACCGGTGCACGAATTTGTGCACCTCTAGTATGCATATAAGAACTTTGGTTAATTTCTTCCTGCCCTCTCTCTCCCCCCTTTCCTCTGAGATTTATCAGTCTGTTCCATGTTTCCATGCCTGTGTGTGGAGGAGCGTTTGCTCCCTGGTGGTCAGTGCACATCATAGCTACCAGTTGAACAGTCGCTTAGGCTTTTATATATATAGATAGATATTAGATTAATGAGATTTGGGAAGCAAGTTAAGTTCATTGTTAATCTCATGATAAAATTTTAAGTTTTAGGGAAATTTCTTCTGGAAAGATTTCAGGTAGCTAGTCCACTGAAATAAGATTATGTGGATTTGCATTTTCAGGGCAGAGATGGATACTCCTGTTCTTAAATTTATTTCAATAGAAATCTATTGAACATTCATTCTACCCAGTCAGTGTCTGCTGTGCTGAATTACAAATAAACAAATACGAAAAAGACAATCCCTGCCCTCAAGAAGCTCAAGTATAGAGACAGGTTCTTAGGTTCTTCTCTTTGGGATCTAATGCCAACTAGTCACTGGCTAACAGATAATCTGTGAATAAAAAATAAAGCTAAATATTTACCCACAGAACTGGTTTCCCTTTGGTACTTCTGTTTCTTTTCAGTACAATTCTCACATAGAAGTTTGTTATTCCCCATTAATAACTCCATAGATGTAAACTGGTAGAGGCAAGACTGAATTGAGCATTCTTTAGAAGTAGTTATATAGCTCTGAGAAAGGGTCTGAAAAGCATTTTGTGGACTGTGAGACATCGTATGCTTCTCCTCTGAAAAATATAAATTATTTGGAAGACTTAGTGGCTGATTTTCTCCATCAAAATCTCTATCTCCAGTTACAGTGCTGCTTAAATGAAGTTCAGAAATAGCTTCAGCCACTCCTTCAACACCACTATCAGTCTTCTTGGTGGGCAGTTCTCTTGCTGATGGATGGTGATGTCCATTTGTGTGCACATAGCATCCACTACGGGATCTTGGCAACAGAGTTTGCTTAGAAGCACTTTCAGATTCTGAAGCCTCACTGTCAGCATCAACACCACTTTCACAACGGCTGGCTTCCTTCTCACTACCATCGGTAGGGTTTTCAGCCATATTCGATTCAGTATTCATGATGCTTGCAAATGCAGAAGAATCCCCATTCACTTCCATGTTTCCATTTTTCCGGTACATGTCAACAGTTTTATCTTCTCCAGATGAAAATTTCCTTGCACGTTTTCTGCCATGAATTAGCTGATTCTGTAAGTTGACAGTGTTTTTAGAGAAAAGAATCTTGTGACCTTACTAAAAATACCAGTAATTAAATGTCCCACAATTATTAAATAAATACTCTAAGTATTTCTCGTACACCTAAAACCCTTCCTAAATCTACATAAACTATAACCAATAGAAGATATACTAACAAATAGTTCTAATTTAAAAATAAATTTTACACAAGAAACCAACAACAGAAACCTATTTGCGGAGAAGAGGGCTTGTGCAAATAGCGCGGAGATTGAAGAGGCATGACAATCAACCGCACTCCGTAGCTCTATTTTAGATCTTGAATTCAAATAGACTTTAAAAAGTAAAACCAAAAAACAAGTATTTATGAGACAGTTGCAGAAATTTAAATAATGACTGGATATTGGTGCTGTTACAAAGTTATTAATATTTTAGGTAATGATAATGGTACTGTGGTTACGTATTTTAAAGGAGTATCTATTTGATCTACATACTGAAATATATGATATATTTGGGATTTATTACAAAATAATCTTGGTGGAGGTGGGGAAAATATAAGCTATAGATAAAAGCTGATTAGCCATGAGCTGATAACTATAAAGTTCAGCTATTTACATGGAAGTTTATCACACTATTTTCTCTACTTCTGTATATTTTTGAAATTTTTTATAGTAATAAGTTTAAAAAAGAAGATGCCTCCCAAATACACATAGTCTTACCTTATCTTTAGATGGAGACTGCTTCCTGGTAGCTCTGGGTTGGTGAGTATTTTCTATAGTAACAGGGCCACTATATTGGCCATTCTGTGTCTCCTGTAAACTTCTATATTTATTGATTCTTCCCCAAAGTACAGGCTTTGAAACCTATATAAATGACATGTACATAACACAAAACTTCTTTAGGAAATAAATTCTGGATGTAATCTACTTTTTAAAATTTCTAACTCACTTGAAATATAATTTTAACTCTCAAAATATAAAGCATAAGGATTTAAATTCCTTGAGAATAAGAATGATCTCATACTTTATGCATGCATACACAAACCCCAATATTAACTGTACAAACTGAACTACTGTAAATAAAAAATAATGATTCTCAGATCTGATAACATATTCAACAAATGTCTAAATAAAATGAATTCCCTTCACAAAACAATTAAGGGTTTTTTTCTCCTTACCCTTTCTTCTATTATAGGAAGTGAAATATCAATGAAAGGATCTTTCACCGTGGAGATCTTAAAAAAACAACAACACATATTGAGAACTTCAGGTAGAATTCTAATATAGACAATGTAGTTTTGTAAAGGCTTAGAGGAATCAGACTTCCCAGGCAACTTAAAATTTTAAGTTAAAAAACATTCCTGGAACAAATAGCAATTTAATTGGGTAGAGCAGCATGACTGTTTATCAAAACAAGATATCCCAAAACTTTAATAAATGCAACCCTGTTGAATTTTATGTTGTCAATATCATAATATCAATAATGTTTAAAGTAACTTTTAAATAAAATGTTTAATAATAATGATTAACTAAAGATATAAACATATTTTTGGTGAAATTAGTGCCATAACATAAAATATGAAAAAGGCAGAAAGTTTGTGTTTTGTAGATTATTTAGGGTAATTCTAAAAGATACTCTCTAGCTTGTGAGAGAGAAATCAACTTTTATGTCAATACTACAGATTAGGAGATACAATATATAATTCTGATTGAATAAGACTAGAGAAGATAGAAAAATACTCCATAATCGGGAACAGGAAAATGTACATAAAGACTCTCTCTTTTACAAGAAAATCTGACAAAAGTGTAAACCCATCAAACTCCAAGTTATCTGCTTTCAGAAGTATTCCTTATCAAGCAACCGAAAGCCTATAAAAATTTATATGTCTTTAAATTGTTAAAGGACAGATGGCATTCCATTCCACCAAATAAAAAGTATCACTAATTCAAAGATGAATCAAATCTGCTTAATAAAATAAACTTCAACAAGTCATAAAAAAATAAACTTTAAATCAAATGTGCTAGATCACCCTGGGTTATGTTACTACATTAAATTATTTCCATTGGAATTACATTTTAGGCAATGCATACATAGTTACAAACATAGTTATTCTCTTTACAGAACTTTATTTTATTTCCATCTAAACAAGTAGCTTACACATTCAAACATATTAAAATGACCTAACAGAACTTCACAGGTTTCTTGGGAGAAAAAATAAAATCACACACTTATTTTAAAAAATTATATATTATGTTTACTTTCTAAGAGTGAAGGATATATTTTAGGAAGATTTTCAAAAACTATTATATGTAGTCATCTGTCACAAATAAAAGTAAATGACTGCTGAAGATTATATGTGAAAGAAAATAATCAAAATTCTGGGATTGTAATCTAGTCCATGCTGAAGTGAATTTCAAAGTACCTACATTTGCACATTCTTCACACATGAGGGTGCTAGTTAATTCACCAATAAAGATCCGATCTATGAAGTTCATTTTCACACCTTCGCTTCCATATGCTGTAAAAATAATACTTTTTAATGCAAAAAATGTCAATCATCAACCTTAAATATTAACATAGTTTTTTTTGTTGATTCAAAAGAAATCTAAGGCAGATGTCCAGTGCCCCATTTAATAATATATTCTCCTATATGACATTATAATGTCTCTCTCTTTTACAGTTCTGTAGAGAAAATGTAACTAGCAATGATAGTATTTCCAGAAATAACAAACTGCTTGTAAGAGGTAAAATAATAGGAGCAGTAACTATAACTCATACTACATCTCCACTGCTCCCATTAAATCCTTTAAAGCCTCTGTGCCTGACCCAGAGGTAGAGGGATGGGAAAGGAGATTATGCTTTTAGGGCTACAGATACCAGGATCCAACTATGGAAATGACAGAGTATAAAAGACAAGTAAACACAGGATAGTATAAAAAAATTAATATGACAATAAATAACTCGGTTACACGCATAACTGCTCAGTTATATTAAAATTGTCAGAATTACTTGTTTGAAAAATCTATAATAATAAAAGTGTAATATGCTAATTAGATCAGACGTCCTTCCGGACGACCTTCCAGATGAAACTGGGGCTGTGAGGGAAGCCCAGGTCCCGGGTACCAGAGGCAAGCCGGTGCCGACAGCCGGGGGGAAGGAAGGCCTATACTCTTGCACAAATTCCGTGCATCGGGCCTCTAGTATTTATATATCAAGGGAAATTATGCCTATAATTTGCTTCAAAATAATCTGGGGTTGGGAGAAAATAGATGAAACATAATACTCCAGGAATTGAATGTAAGAAATGGGGTAATGAGTACATGGATACATGGAACTTCATATACTACTCGCTCTACTTAATAGAAGTTTGACATTTTCCACAATAAACACTGGGGGAGAAATATATTTAAAAAATCTATTCATTTCTATCTTTTTTAGATCTCTGTCTTCTAAAACATTGTATTTTCTGCAATGAGTGACAGAGCAGACACATTGGGCTATATAAATAAACATTTATTAATTATAATTGAGACATTATAGTACACTAAGATGTTTCATTAAGAAAAATTGTACAAGGGTTAATAGAAAAGATTACAAAACTGGAAAGAGATGAAAGAAAAACTGGGCAGTTATTCTAAACATGCTCTAGATGGCACTATGTCAAAACAAAAGAGCATGCTTGAAAATCTACATTTAAAAAAACCTGAACCTTTAAAACTGCATATAAAATGTGGCATATATAAACACAACATATATTTGTTTATATAGATACATAGGGTGTACATATACTACTACAAAAAATAAAAGTTAGAAAAGAGAATGAATAAAATACAAATCATATTTTAAGTGTCTTCTAAAAATGATGACTTCAGCCGAAACCGGTTTGGCACAGTGGATAGAGCGTCAGCCTGCGGACTGAAAGGTCCCAGGTTCGATTCCGGTCAAGGGCATGTACCTTGGTTGTGGGCACATCCCCAGTGGGAGATGTGCAGGAGGCAGCTGATCGATGTTTCTCTCTCATCGATGTTTCTGACTCTCTATCTCTCTCCCTTCCTCCCTGTAAAAAATCAATAAAATATATTTTTTAAAAAAAATAAATAAATAAAAATGATAACTTTATACTACCATTAGTTAACATCTCAAGGCAGAATACACATTTAGGACATGGTAAATCACTAATAACATAGACTATAAATCCACACTTAAATACTTATAAGTGACCACTTTGATTAGATAATCATTGTTTTTGCCTCACATTTTGGCTGAGGAAGAGAGAACACTAGGAGTAAAATAGACATGTGCACTTGACCTGTCAGTACTCTCATCAATAAATGTTTCCTTGCAGGAATCTTTGCAGCACTTAAGCATTGTCAAGTTAAACATCCATGAGTTCACTCATCCAAGCACACACCTCAACTGCAAAATAGTCCAATATGATAAAAGTGAACTTCCAAATAAGGATGCTACCCTCAACCACCTTTCAAGTCTCCCTTACAGCCTCCTATTAAGAGCAATAGTGTCAATCTGTATATGTGATATTACTTTTATTTTAATTCACATGGATAAATTCTAACATTTTCTTTCTATGACTGACTAGACCAGCAGTTCTCAACCTGTGGGTCGCGACCCCTTTGGGGGTCAAACGACCCTTTCATAGGGGTCACCTAAATACATCCTGCATATCAGATATTTACATTACAATTTATAACAGTAGCAAAATTACAGTTATGAAGTAGCAATGAAAATAATTTTATGGTTGGGGGTCACAACATGAGGAACTGTCTTAAAGGGTCGCAGCATTAGGAAGGTTGAGAACCACTGGACTAGACTATCTTGCAGCAACTAGAATAAGTATACCTTCATTTTAAGGCAACTATTTTACAACATTCATTCACATAATGCTCAGTTCTTTGTCCCCTGTAAAGAAACTTTAAATATTTTGCTGTAGAATAAAATTTTAACAGTGGGTCAACATACCTTTGACTTTTTTCCTAGTTTCATCATCAGCAGTTTTAGTTGTTGGGTTGTTAAATGCTTTTAGAATGCTAGCTTGTATTCTCTATAAAACAAAGTTAATAAGAATTTATAAAATCTGTTATTTTAAAGCAGTATTCTGTGTTCTTTTAAATATCATCTGCTTTAGTAACAGTTAACTCCAGCCTCATCTTAATAAGAGAAAAACTTTCAAACAGCAAGGTACACTGGATCTCAGTCCCTAATCTATAAAATAAAATGACTGAATTTTTAAAAATTAAATCTAGCCCTAAAATTCCATGAACAAAAGATTTTCTTATTTGGGAGAGAATATGGAATTACAGTCAAAGTTCCTATGTTTAGGCTCTCTCTTGGGTTTGAAGGTGTTTCTTCCGTCTACAAAAAGCAAGCAGCCTAGTCTCATTATTCTTACAGGTTTAGAGTAACTTGGCCCTCTTTTCCCTTCTCTCCCCTTTTCTCTCCATTTGTCTCCCTCTCCCACTCTGTTCCTAAAAATGATGTATTCCTTAATCAGGACAAAATGTCACAAATAAACCATATGAAATGTCTTCTCTATGAAGAAAACCGTATTATATAAGGAGCTCTTAAACTGGTCACATTGGCTTCCACACAGATTATTTTACTTATATAAATGTATGACTCAAGTCCAGAATATCAATTAATGTCCTCAAAGTTTATGTTTTCACATCTCTTCCGTATGTTTTAGGAAAGATCCAACCTCACAGGAAACTTTTAGAATAAATTAAAACTATATATTCTAAAAATAAAAATGTATAAGCTAATGAATCATCTTTTACACTAATTATGCCCCTAATTAATGGATAAATTTAATCTTCTCTAATTCACATTTTAACAATGAGGTGAAAAGAATGTTTGTTCATTATTCTTCAAAATATTTTTTTAAGTAATGTCTTAATCACAGGTTTTCATATGTGAAACTACTATTTGATCTGGACTTCCTGTCTAAGCTAAAGTTGACTTACCGATGAAAAAAATAATTTAACTAAAATAAACAAATTAGAATGGTGTGAATTCCATGCAGGAGAAATATTTAATGCATATAAATGAAAGATTCCAATAAATACTAATGTTCACCTTTAACTATTTAATATAACTGTAAAAAGGCTCTCTAGTTACTAGAAATAGACCTCTAACTCAATTAGAAGTCTGTATATTTGTTTTCCAATTTGAACATTTTATTAATTTAGATATGAATTTCAATGATTTAATGAGCTTTTACTATATTTTAAAATGTAAGCTATGATATTACTCTTTAAAATATAAAAAAGTCTTTGTAATATTTCAAGAAATAAAAATTATTTTAAAAAATAAAATAAAATATAAAAAAGTATAAAAAATTAAGTTGATTAAATTAACTTTTTAAACTATTAGACTTGTTTTATTTTTATTGTATTATAGCCATAAATGTATATTCTCTGCTCTATACTGTTAAAGAGTTAATTAATAGGTAATTCATCAAGTTAAATAAAATAAATGAGTTTAGGTCCATCTACAGCCTCTCATTGTTAAGAGTCATGTTTTGAACTATTTAGGTTAAAAAAAACTTAGATCAGGGAGCTACTAACAACTGCAGCACATTAATCAACTAGCACTACCCAAGTTCAAATCTTAAACTTCTTTTAAAAATAAAAATGCAAAAAAACTCAGTTAAGTTAGCTGAAGTATTGTGCCTTTAAAAAATCCTATCCAATAATGTATTAAAGTGATAGATCTTTGAGAAGATAATAAAAATGTAACATTTCTTTAATGATAGCTCAAATTAAAAGGGAAAAAGTGAAGCATATATATTTGTAAGTTGAAAAGACTGCTTATAAAAGTTCTTATAGTAAATCTGATTTTATTTGCACATAAAAAACTTACAATTTTTTGCACAAATGATCCTTTTAGTGCTCCATTCAATAAAAGCATATTATAGTCCTGAAGTTTATAGTTGTAAAAGACTTTGATGAAACGATATGAAAGGAGATCAGTAGTTTGTGATCATTACTAAAAGATTCTGGTGGCAGACCTAATGGTGTAGCCTTTCTTCAATCAAAAACACATGGCAGTGGCAAACGACAACAGCAACACAACTAACAGCTGTGGGTTCCCAGGCCAGACAATGCAGCTCCTGCCTGGGTACCACTGTAACAGACTGGCCTTGCTCACAGGACTGAGCAGATCCACACACTTGACATTTTAATTTTGCCACGCCATCTAAAACCCTCACAGAGAGGAAGAAAGATAAGAGCTTTCAAAAACCAATGCTTCTTGCTACACTGCCTGAGTTTTTAAGATACTATGAATCCCAATACCATTATGACAGAACAGTAATTTAATTTGAAACAAAGAATGCCATCCTATATAGTAAAAGCCTAATATGCAAATTGTCCCCTTGGGCGGTTGTTCAACCGGGAGTTAAACCACTCGCTATGATGTGCGCTGACCACCATGGGAGTGGGACCGCGGTGGGATGGTGGAGCAGGTGAGTGGGCGGCGCCAGGCCAAGGCGGGTGCGAGCGGAGGCCCAGGTGCTGCCCAGGGCTCAGAGGTCCGGTGGGACTTGCCCTTCCACACCAGATGCTTGCACTTTGATCACTGGCCAGGCCCAGGGAATGCACCCAGGCACAAATTTCATGCACTGGGCCTCTAGTCAGGTAATAGAAGGGAAATAGAATAAATGATAGGGATAGATTTTGTTGTTTTATTTGTGATAACAACAGAGAAAAACAATGTAAAGACATAAATTTTAATTCCATTTACAATGATTCATAACCATCATGTAGTAAACATTTCCAGCTATATCCCCCTTCACCTGGATTCTTAGATCCCTTTTCTTTATTTAAGCTAGTTTTAGTTGATTTCTGTTAATTATAGCCAAAGAACATTAACTAATAAAGAATAGGGGTTGTGACAGAGTAAAAGAAAATAATCTTGTAGAAGAGATAAAAAAAAAAAAGAGAGAGAAGAAATAGAATAGTGAGAAAAAAAATCAAGTTAACTTCCTAACCGCACATAAAAATTATGGTAGAAATGAAATCCTTCAGCTTTGAACCCTCTTCTTAAAGAGTATATGTGATAAACATAAAGAAACCTGACCTTTGTTTCTTCAGTCCTCACTGAATCCAACAGATAATGCAGGAGCTCCTGACTGTCCTGTTGCTGAAAATCTTTAAATCGAGGGGCCCTTTGATTTAAAAACAGCAGGAGAGAAAAAAAGATCATTTCATCAACAATATATTATTAATATTTAAATCACTTTATAATAACATATAGCTAAAGATTCAATTTACTTCTTTTTGTACTAAGTCAAAATGTGATTACTGTTCCAATTAGGAAGAGACCTTAAGTGTACTGAGAACAATATGGCTATCATTTATTGGCAACTACTACATGCCAACCACATATGTGTTTCACATACTCACAACTATAAACCTACTTTTCCCCACCCTGTATACAAATATGTAAAATCAAATTAGTTATATCCACATGTACTATATAGAGAGATATACAAAACACAGTAAGCAAAACAAGCAAGTTGCAATTTTTATGTCGGTATGTGCATGACTTTTAAAATAAAAAACATACTAATAATTTGAATTTTTATCTATGAGCATCTATTACTTTAATAATTTAACAATTTATAAATCTTTATAAAATTAGAAAAATGATACAAAACAGTTATTTTGGATAGAGTCTAAAACAAATTTCTAAAGTACATATATCCTAAAAATTTCTTAATTTTATCGGGCACCTATGTTTCTGAGGCTTTTCAGAAATCTTTTTGTTCCTCAGGCTTTAAAAAAAACAGCATTTGCCTAGCAAATGAAACATACAATACACCCTCTATATTTTAGACTACATTTGATATGATGGCACATTATACTAAGTGAAATAAGCCAGTCACAGAAAGACAGATACTGCATGACTTCATTTATATGAAGAACCTAAAATACTCAAATGCATAGAATCAAAGGATGGAATGAATGATAGTTGTGAGGGGCTGGAGTGAGTTGCAAAGGTGGAGTTGCTAATAAATAGGCATAAGGTTTCAGTCGAGCAAGATGAATAAGCCCCAGAGATCTGCTGTACAACATTGTACCTATAGTCAACAATATATTATACACAAAAACATTTTATTTTTTTAAAATATATTTTTATTAATTTCAGAGAGGAAGGGAGAGGGAGAGAGAGATAGAAACATCAATGATAAGAGAGAATCATTGATCAGCTGCCTCCTGCATACCCCTTACTGGGGATGGAGCTGCAACCCAGGCATGTGCCCTTGACCGGAATCGAACCCAGGACCTTTGAATCCACAGGCTGACGCTCTATCCACTGAGCCAAACCAGCTAGGGCTACACAAAAACATTTTAAGAGGGTAGAGTTTGTGTTGTATTCTTTACACAATACATTTTTTAGAAACAAATTAACATTGGTACACTACTATGAGACAAAATATAATAAAACACATTACCATGACACAAATAACGAGCTTAAATTAAAATGAAACTTTAAGGATTGTAGATATAAAAAAAAGCAAGTTCATGTTTAAAGAATTTGGTTTCTACATATTTTAGTTCATTGTGGACTAAACTAGTTTATGGCTCTATGACAAGGCCCGTTTTAAACACATGACACGTTGTGTACCTGAATTCTAGCGAGTACTGACAACAGAGTAAGCTCTCAATTTTCTAGATGTAGGAATAAGTACATACATTAAAGTAAAGTTACGACCTTTATGGTATGTGTTTATTTCCACGCACTCAAATATTGTGTGTGTGGGGGGGGGCGGGGGGAGTGTGCGTGTGTGTGTGTGTGTGTGTATATAAATAAACTGGAGGCCTTCATGCACTGGTGGGGTCCCTCGGCCTGGCCTGTGGGGATCAGTGAACCTTCCCGTCACCACAGCCTGGCCTTACCCACCAACTCATCGGGCTCCAGCCCCCTCATCGGGCTCCGGCCCACTGTCCGCATTGATCCTGCACAGCATGAAGTAGTGCGTGAAGCAGCAGGCAGCCAGGGAGGAGCCCCAGCTGGGCACCACGCTGCTCCCACTCAACCCAGCCCCACGGTGGCAGCAGCCGCTGGGATGTGCAGGGGGAATGTCCGGGAGAGCCTCGGCGTCTGGTGTCCATTTACCAGCTGAGCAGCACTTCCACTGTGGGAGCGCACTGACCACCAGGGGGCAGCTCCTGCATTGAGCGTCTGCCCCCTGGTGGTCATCCA